CCTGCTAAAAAAAAAAAAAGTCAGGAATATTTAAGTAAATTTAAGTAATATTCCTTTTATTGTGGTAAATATAAGGAAATAATAAAATGAATACACTCATACTTGGTGTTTGTCCAGTTAAAAGGGGGGTGGTGGTGAATACCAGATTAGTCACTCCTAACTTGGACATACCCTGATTGTGTCTATATTCATAATTTTTCCATGGTAACCAACATGGATTATTGAGTTGTGATGTTTTGCTGTGCTCCATGTGTTTCTACTGACCCTTAGGAGAGCTGCTTTGGTGTTAAATAGTGCCAGGCAGTGAGTAACCATTTTTCCACTTTACTGGAAGAACATGTGGCTTTACTACTTTCTTGCATCAGCTATGGCCTTAATCTGAAATTCATCTTCAATGAACTGATTCAACTCATTAAACCACTGGAAAACTGTTCTCCTTTCTGAAAAAGAAAAAAAAGTTTTCCTTTGTGACTTTTATCCTGGAGCTGACCTTACTCAGGGTTTATAGAGACAAACAGAATGGAAAAGGGACACAAGGAAAGGGGAAGAAGAGGGAGAGTGACCTCTTGTTTCCCATGGCAGTGAGCTGGTAGTTAAGCTCAGCCCAGCCATTAGTACTTCATCATGAGTTTTCTTTTCATAGAATCACAGAATGGTTTGCATTAGAAGGGACCTTAAAGACCATCTAGTTCCAACCCCCAGCCACAGGCAGGGACACCTTCCACTAAACCAGGTTGCTCCAAGCCCCGTCCAACCTGGCCTTGAACACTGCAAGGGATGGAGCAGCCACAGCTTCTCTGGGTTTGACATGGTTTCTTAGTGTAAGGTGGTTATATCCCCCAAAATTGCAGTAAAGCTAAGGCTGTGAGCCTGGATTTACAATAGTGAAAATGGAAGCAGAATTTGACCCTCAGATTAACATTTCCTGGAACTCTTAACACTCTTTGTTATACTTCAGTTCTCTCTTGTTTCAAGTATTTAGCTTGTAATCATACCAGTGTTTCAATAGAAAAGTGTTTTAACTTTGGAGCCAGGGATTTGAAGAGAGTAACACTTCCATTTAATTATAAAGCAAGAAGCATTTGGCCAGACATTTATGTTATCATCATCCCAATCTGAAGCTTTTAAAGAAGAAAAGGAAACAAAAATTTTGTTTGGTTCAGTGATAAAACTTGTTAAGGATAGCTGGCCCTTACAGAGTGCCCCAAGGGTTCACAGGCTTCAAGGGTTTTTGTCTTCAGCTGTAACGGCATGGGACATTTTCATTAAAACTTAGAATTGCTATTAAAGCCAAGGTGGTCTCTTCCTTCTGATAGTGAGGGAAGTTTTGATTCACTAAATTACTGTCTTTTTGGCTCTTGTTTAAAGTGTGCATAACCTTTCTTTTAGAAACAAGCTGCTGCTGAAGCGAACAGCTGGTGTGTGCTTGCCCAATGTAATTGCTGTAACAGAGGTGCACACCAAGGCTGAGTTTGTCTATCCTGGCACTGTCCTGTCACTGCCGGTGGCTTTAGATAACCTCCATGCAGCCATGGTGCCCTGTGGCTGACCTCTGCAGAGGGGTCACCCCCTCTATGCTGGGTCTGGGCATACTCAGTGCTCTCTAGGATGCATATTGCCACAGCACATCAGGCCAGTCCCGCTATTCCTTTGGGCAAACGGGAATCCTTTCTCCCTAGCGTGGTAGGTTTGGGGATCCTGCCTGGGAAGCCGTGAATTTTCTGAAGCAAGGAGTTCACAGTTATACGCACAGTCCCTGAAGTACTGGAGGGCTGGAGGTTCTGGTAGCTGTTATTTCTGTTCTCAGTTCAGTACTGTCAAGACCTGTTCTTGTATTTTTGAGTTACTGTGCTTCAGGAAATACGTTTTCATCATCTGCACTTCAAACATTGTTCACTGAACCATACTGTAAAAAAGAAAGGACAAAATGTCTTAGAAAGCATTTCTAAGTGCCAGGAAGTAAATAGTTATTGCTGGGGTGTGTGCTTGGAAAGTTGGCAGCCTCCAAAATTATTACAGATGAAATTCTACTTCAGATAAAGCATGAACTGATACTGGTTTGGTGCTTGGTTTTGATTGATACTTCTTCTGAGAGAACTGCTGCTACCCTGCTTGGCTATGCCAAGATCAGTTTGTGATTTTAATACATACTTTCTTTTGAAGAAGTGTAATTAAAAAATAAGAAATGGAGAATATGTGTTTCAGAACAGAAGTGTCTGTCCCCTGAGCTGTAGATCAATGATGGTCTAAAAGAGGGGTAGATTATAACATGCTGAGCCGGCGGAACGTGTGGTGCTGTTTTGCCTTGGTTAAAGCTACTAAATCCCATTAAAAGGGAAGCTAGAAACAAATTTTATGTATTTTCAGTCTCTTCACTCTGTGGATACAATTACTGTGACTGACACAAAAGCTACATAAAGTCATGAGTAAAGAAGGAAGTGTTGCTGTAGTGGGAGGATGCTGGTCCACCAAGCACTCCCCCTTGTTTGCAGCAAGTGGCTTAGAGGCTTCAGAGAGCTTCTGAAGACTTTCCACGCCCCTCACTCTGAAGTATTTACTGTCAGCCAACTGAGCCCTCACTGGAGAGACCTTGGATACTGAGATGAAAATTGTCACATGGGATAAAGCCCAAATCTTAATTAGATCAATTAGTTATGCTACAGTTGCTTGCTTACAGTTCTTTTCCCAGTTAGGCTCCTTCTTTGCTAGCTGTTATAAACTCAAAGCAGTTTTGCTGGCAATTATGAAGGAAATGGCTTTTATGCCATTTTACTTCATGTTTTTTTCACTATACTGAAGATACAGTGTCTTTAATATCTACACATTTACAGAATATTTAAACTCCTAGTATCCTAAACTATGCAAATCCTTCCACCTGATTCTCCCAGGCACCCCAGCTCATTCTGAACTTCTGCTTACAATTTTCAGCTGTGTAGTTGAAAAGGTTACCAAAAAGATTACCGCCTTCACAAATTTCCATCTTTTCTGAAGCTGGAAGTTATAATCCACATAGGAACAGCAGTATTTTAGCTTAAACTATAGAAATCAAAGTATGCTGATGCACTGGGTCACAATCACAAAATGGGCTCTCAAGCCCCTGTTCTGATGGTCCATCATGCCAGGAAAGGAGTGACTTCCAGAAAAAAGGAAAAGCAGAGGGCTGAGAACAGTGAAATTTCCAAATGCTGTCATTATTCAAGAGGGAGTGAGAGCCATTTGCTACTTCCTAAATTGTTTTTACAGGAGACTACTGGAATAATGCTGGAATAATACTATTTCTGGAACTTTTGTCTTGTTATAGTTGTTCTTTCCCTTTCCATGGTGGACATTATCTCTTTCTTTTTCCTTCATCCTACTTTTCACACCTTCTTGTTTTGCTTTTCTCTTTCTCTGTCTTGTTCAGGAGTTTGTTTTTAAAATTGTTCTTCCTGCAAAAAGAGAAATCAATATAAATGTATGTAAAATAAAGAACCTGTCACTACCTTGATTTGCTAACCTTCTGTGATTTCTTTTCAGGATTATTCCCCTGGCACCAAAGCTCAGTTAGCAAAGAAGGGTGACAAGTGCTTGCTGGTGATACTATTGCTGTCCCCTTCCAGAGCAAAGGAAGAGAATTTTCCCTTTCTTTCATTCATTAGAACTACCTGAGCCACCAGAGTCAGAGCAATTTCCATTGGTCAGGCCAGTGGGTAGGCTGGTTCAGATAAATTGTTTCTTCTGTTGATATCAGTAAAAAATGCCCTTATATAAAAAGATTCTCACTTTCTCCTGCTGCTGTTGCATACCAGTGGCCAGTAAAAAGCTTTAAATTGTAACAGAGGGAGAGCAGAAGAATGCTTGATGAGAAGCAGCATGATTTGTCCTTTATTAAAGGCTGACCATGGACTTCTGTCAGGTGAACTGTAAAAGCACAGAGGGATCACCCAGTAGCACAAGGTATTGCAGATCTCGCCAAATACTTCCGCAGATCCTGTTTTCAGCTGTAACTTTACTGGATTTCCTCCATTCACCTGAAGAAGCCTGCAGCAGATATTCACACCAGATTTTCTTATTCGTCGTTTAAAGGTCTTTCAAAATGGCTTAACCGTTTCTGAAATGGGGACTGGAAAAAGGTGTTTTCTAGTGACTACTTCTTACAGATGTGCTAGTACCTGTCAGTTGCAGAGCACAGACTTAACAGTTGATATGGGAAAAGTTGCAGGATATGTTTACTTTGCCATAATTCTGGAATTAGAACTGGGACCAGAGATGTGGGACAAGGATAAGCCTAGGATAAAAGAAATACTACTTAAGTGTCCTCCAAAGACTTGGACAGGTTTGGGTGAGCTACACCTTTGAAAGTCTTTTTACATATGTTCAGAAAATACAGGCTTAAAAAAAAAATTATTTCAGTGGCCTCAGGCTAGAGGTAAGGGGTAAGGTAGTGAATATAGTGAATATATCTATAGTGAATATTAGCCACATCCATATATATTGACTCAAACTCACATGACAGAGGACAGTCCTCCCGAATCAAGACGCACGGGAAATCTTGCTAATAATACCTCATGTAGCCATTTAGTTGTTGTTTTCTTTACCTCTGTTCCTAACAAAAATAAGAATGGCACAGAATGGCCAGTGTAGGTGTTGCAGCCCTCCATGCGTGTGCCCATTTGGTCACCTTGTATGTTGCTGCAGTGTTTGGTTGTTTCTCTCAGGGAACTGTTAAGCCATTGCTTCTTTTTTAAAGCTTATTTTTAGATTTATTTCTGGGAGCACCATCTCTCCATGGTGGATAGTCTGGTTGTAGAAACGACAGCACTTACAAATCACCTAATGAAGTCTAAAGAGCACTCTGGGATTCATTTGATAAGAGTGGGTGTATAAATGAACGGCTGTTAATTGTGCAGCTGGCTGCCACGTGCAGTTAATCTCAAGTGCAAAAGCACAGAGAAAGGCGCTCTGTGAGCAGTTCCGATCCAGAAATACCCAGGAAGGAAAGAACAGAAGCTCAGGGCTACCTTTTGGCTCTGTGATTTACACTGCCCATGAGGATATCTTGCAATGTTGGCCATGTGTTTTTCAGCTCATTGCCAATCCTCATGCCATTGCTGAACTCGATACTGAGGCTGGGACTTTGTAATTCTATCCTGAATGGCACGGTTCTCCTGGCTCACTCTCTGCAGCTCCAGCCTTCGTTTTTCTCCATTTAAACTAGGAGGGAAAAACATATAAGCAGAATCAAACTTCTTCAAGCTTGTTCATGTTCCCACGCCTGGTAATCTAGAATGTGAAATACCTGTGGAAATGTGTCTAGAATGTGAAATACCACATGTGAAATGTGTCAGGAGAAAATTTGTGTAAGGTTTTATATCTCTTCTACGAAGACTTGCTCCTCCATGATCATCATTAACTGGCACTTGCAGCCCAATCCTTTTGTCTTTCTTAAGAGGATAGTCTTTGTTCAGTATCTTCCAAATGCAGCCCTGCCTGTAGGGGGTTGAGTACATTTCATAAGAGGAAAAATGCTACTTTTATACTGGATTAATGCCAACCCTCCAATCTTGGAATTGCTGTAGTGCAGTACTGTAGCTGAGGGCATGGCCACTGTCTGAGATGCTAAACGATCAATTTCAGTTAGTTTGGTTTATATGTTTATTTTGTGCACAAACCTGATGTGCCAAGCTGGGAAGCACGAACATAACATATTGCCTCAAGCATCTTGGAAACTTTGTGTGATTTCTTAGACTGTAATTTCCCAGGCAGCTGAGCTGATCTTGTGGCAGTCTCCTGCCACCAAAAAAGGGAAGGACTTGCTCTTTTGCTTCCCCTGCTCATCTCCCCACTGCTCCCAGCTGTGTGGTCTTCTCCACCCCTTGCACCAGCTCTGCAATTCATCACTTCGCAGAAAGTGGCAGAAAAACTATCCAGGTTGGTTTGTTTTTATTGGGTTAGTTTTCTGCTGCTGCCTCAAGTTTAATTAGCTAATGGAGAGCTTTGATGAAAACCAGAGTTGATCCAAAGAAAACAACAAGATTTTGCCACTTGAATCAGGAAAGGAGAGAGGAAATGAAAAGGAGGCAGATGTGCTGCTCCTTCCATATCTTTTGGAATCACACCTTGAGCAGTGGAGTTAACTGATGCTTGTTGATGCCTGCACTGGTCTGGGTATTATTCACTAATGACAAGCCATAAGTGCTATGATGTGGTTTTGCATGATGTGGATATGACCAACTCTGTTTCAGATCATTTCTATCTTCCCAAGGAAGAATGTCAGGATATTTGGGACAGTGATGTGTAGTGAGTTCTACCTAGGTCACTTGCTCCCGAGCTGCATTTTGCTGTCTGGAGGCACTTTAGGGCTTGATGAGCAGTCTGTCTGTCATGAAGTAGTCTGTCTGTAAGTGAATCACAGGAGATAGCAACGGCCACCTGAGTTATACAAACCATTCTCTTCAAAAGCCTGCCCCTGTGGTTGCCTGGTTTGCTGTGCCCTATTCGGGGTATGAATTTCCTCCTGAATCAAAAATATGTTAGGTGATTCTCTACAGTGATAAATCCTCAAAGCATGTTTTGCTTGGTCTCCTTTGAGCAGTAAATTATATCTTCGCTTCTGCCTGCTTCCTGCTCCACTTTTCTTCTTCATTTTAATTCTATTTTTTGCTCTGTTTTTATTTCATCTCTAAGCTTTGCATCTCTCTCTCTCTGGTGGTGTCTGTAGGAACAGCTGGCAAAGTCAGCAGCAATGACTCACTTAGCAGGAACAACAGCTTTACTGAGACATAATAGGTTTGCTTCATTTATTTCCTTAAATTAGGGCAATGTTCTCCCTCTTTTTTTTTTTTTCCATTTCCACAGTTATTAAACTTAAAAACTAATTTAAAGCCATCTTCTCTTCAACAGAGGGTAGGAGGAAAATAACTCAGCATTGGATTTCATATGACAGGGCAAGCAAATGGCTTTCTGAAGTGTTGATTATACCTTAGCCTGCCTTTTAAAATGCATGTCCTCACAGAGCAGTTTATCCTTAGCTATGTTTGTCATTGGGAAGGTAACTTGATAACTACATAGAAATAGTGCTGCTGCTGATGCCTTATAGCCATTCTTGTTGTCGATTTGTCCCTTTGTTCTCATGACGCAGGACATCTTCTCCAGCAGCAAACGCTTGTCTCTTTTAATGATGGAAAGTCAGTCTTCCTCCAACTTGTGTACAGAAGGGATAAAGAAATGTTTTTTTTCCTTACAAGGCCATAGCAAACAGCAGTGATGTACCACGAATACCTAACAGGGTGTTCAAAATTGCTGTCCCCTTCTCTACGCTGGGTGTGCCAGACACTGGTCAGGTAAAGCTCTGTGCTAGTGTGGAGAGAACCCTTTGTGTCACCATTTTCATGGTGACACGGAGAGAGAAAGCTGTTTGCAGTGCTGCAAATTTGACCCTGTGACACTCCCCTGCAACCACAGCAGCAGCCTGCATGATTAGCAAATGCACTTCATCAGTGTAAGCAGAACATCTATAAATATTTGTCAATGTGTTTTCCAGGATCATCATTATCATTCGTGTCTCTAGCAGCCTTCAAAAACTAGGCTCAAATCTAGGACTGTGATGGACACTGTACAGACACATGATGGGACTTATCCAGACTCCTCTGGATAAGTGGGGCTCTTTCCATTATCTTTGGTGGGCTTTGGATCAGGTGGTAATTTTTCCATTGACTTCAGTGAGGTTTGGATTAGGTCCAGTTGCAGGCCATTTTTGTCCTGGAGCGGTTGCAAGCTAGTGTAAAAAGAGAAGCAACAACTGGGTGTAATGAACAAATGGAGGGGTGCAAGAGGCAGTATAAGTTAGTTCTGTTCATTGTTAGCATGATTTTAAGCCTCTTTAAATTTGATTTTAAAATGGAAGATATTAATAATCTCAGTTTCTGAAGTTAACTTCATCAAAAGGGGGATGAAAACTGAAAGAGTCCACTGAAGGAAGGAGAATCCCTTTGGATATCCTGGGGCATTGTCTGATTTGTAAAAAATATTACCATATTGTTTTTCAAACAACACAAATCCATGATAGGAGAGTTATGTGGGATTGGGCAGGAATGGGGGAGAGGTGAAGGGAAAAACTTATTTTCCAGGTTATCTGAGTCCCAAGAATGCCTTTTCCAGCAGGGCTGAGCTGGAGGTAACCAGAGAGAGGCTGGACGGAGGAAAGCAAGGAAAGCACACTTTTCATAGCTGCACTTCAACATTTCATTCCCAGAAGCCTCTCAGAATAGAATCACTGAAGAAATAGTCTTGTTTTGAGCATACTAATTCACTCTTCTCCTTTCTCCTCCTTTTTCCCCATATTTGATTCTGGGCACTCCAAAGACATTGCAAGTCCTGTATGAAATGAACAGGAAATCCTGCTTATCCTGCTCTGATAGTTTGGAGTGGCTAATGTTAGAGTAACAGGTTTTTGTAGGGAATCCAATGCATCTGCCTCCCTTATTGGGGTTTATAACTAAAGCAGGTCAGATGCTGGCCACAGTATAGTACAAAGGTACCTAAAACTGGCGCATTAAGTAATCCCATTGGGCTCTGAATAACATCAAGGAGAATGGTTGTAGGGAAGAACTAGTTAGTAGAAGATTGCAACATTAGACTTTCTTTTTCTCTTTCTCTCCTTCCTTTTTTCCTTCTTTCTTTTCTTCTTTCCTTCCTTCTCTCTTTTCCTTTCTTTCTCTCTCTCTTCTTTCTTCATCTCTTTATTTCTTTCTCTTTCCC